GTTCTTAAAAAGCAATCAGGGGAAATTCCTAAAGATTCTTGAAGATTTTTAAATTTTGGACTAGTTATGGAAATAAATTCTTGAGGACTTAGATTCAATTCCTGGGCCTTTTTTGAGATTTTTTCTCCATGTTCATCTACTCCGGAGAGTAGATAAGCTTTCTTACCGATTAAGGCATAGTATTTTTTAATTAAATCACCAACTATTAATGTGTAAGCATGACCTATATGAGGCTCTCCCGAGGAATAAAAAAGGGGAGTGGTTATTAAGACATCGTAGAGCAAAAAGCTCTATTTAGACACGAATAATTTTTGTTTAATTTCTTCCAAATCGGATTTACAATTTTCACTCAATAATTCCTTTTTAACATTCATCAAACCTTGACCTAAATTTTTATTTTTATAGTAAAATCAGACACCTCTTTTTTCTATTAATTTCTCATCAATAGCAGCGTTAATTAGTTCACACATTTTGTCAAATCCAGATTCGAAATAAAGACGAAGAGGAATTTGAATCATCGGACTGTTAAATTTATTTTTTATGATTGTAATTTTTGTCAAAGAGCCAATAATTTTATCGTTTTGTTTAATGGTTTCTTGCCTCTTAATTTCGACTCTTATGCTGGCTGCATACTTAAGAGCTCTTCCGCCGGAAGTCGTCGTTGTAGGTACATAAGTCTGTCTAATTTGTTCGCGAACTTGATTTATAAAAATTATTGCGGTGTTAGATTTAATTAGGTGAGATTGCAATATCCTTAAACCCTTACTCATCAACCTAGCTTGCATCCCCATTCCCTGGTCATGGATGGAGGCATCAAGCTCTGCCTCAGGAACCATAGCTGCTACTGAATCTACAACTATCAGATCAGTCTCATTACTTTGAATTAAGGAGTTAATAATCTCAAAAGTTTCTTCTCCACTGGAAGGAGTGCTGATATATAATTGATCAGTTTTTACACCTATTTTTTCAGCCCAGGGTATATTCAAAGTATTTTCTAAGTCGATGTATACACAAGTTTTTCCCTGATTTTGAGCTTCCGCAATTGCGTGTAGAGCCAGTGTAGATTTTCCGGAAGAATCAGTTCCATAGATCTCGATAATTTTTCCTGCAGGTCATCCACCAGTGCCTAAAGCTTTATCTAACGCATAAGATCCAGTGGGAATATGAAAGGCATCACTACCCTTATCTGTTTCTAAACGTTGAAGTTTAGTTTTATCAGTTCATAATTGAACTCCCATTTCCGTTAGTTTGTCCAAGAAAGATTTTGTTTTACTACTATTCATTGATTTTTGTTTTCCTTAATAGATTCACTATATTAATGTTTCTGTCTCAGTAAAAAGTATGAAAAATTTGGCAAAAGGATATTTCATAGTTATTGAAGGTATGGATAATTCCGGCAAAACAACCACAATAGAGCTTATTAAACAACAATTGTCAAAAATAGAAAATTCTCTAATTAGGAATTATTTTCAGGAAAAAATATTCTTTACTTCAGAGCCATATGGTCCTAATTCAATATCGTCAAAATACAAGAAAATTTCAGAGATTATTTTTTCTAAAGATTATGATCTTAAGCCCGAAACTGAAGCATTGTTGTTTTTAGCAGCACGGAAAGAGCATGTAGATACATTTATTAATTCAGAATTAGATAAAGGATCTTTGGTAATTTGTGATCGCTTTTACTTATCTTCGATTGTGTATCAATCTTATTTAAGAAAAGTGGATCTTAAGTGGCTAATGAATAATATCTTTTTTATTGTCGGAAAAACTAAACCCTTTGTAACTTTTTTTCTGGAAGTGGATCCTCACAGATATAGCGCTTCTCTTTTACAAAAAAAATTTCGTAAAAAATTTAATAAATATGATTTGAGTAAATTTTCATTTAAAGAATTACAAAATGGATATTTAGAAGCTATTAGATTATTACAAAAGCAGGGAGAAAAATTCATAGTAGTCCCTCCGAGCTTAACGTTAGAAGAAAAAGCTACTTTTATTATTAAAGAAATTGAGAATCTAATTGTTGAATAATATGTCTCAATTAATATCACACACTTGAGATCTAGAATTGCTGTTAGAGGGAAAAACCTTGGATTTTTGAATTAACAAGATATATGAATTTCAAGAAAAAATACTCGACAGATATACAGATGATTTATTTTCATCTATGGAGGCCCTTAAAGAATTTCATCAATTGAGTCGAGAATTTCATATCTTGAGTAATAGGGTAAAAACTTATATTAGCAACAAACAAAATACAGAACAATTTGAGCATAAGTGACTTTTAATAGAGCAAGAATTAATTCAAAAATCTATTCCTTTTGCACAAAAATTAACTACTTTTTCCAACAGAGCAATTAAAAATAAAAAACTTATAGAAAATTATTTACAGAGTCCAAGTTTTGAGAGTTTTAAGCGTTACTATGAAGTTCTATTTAGATACAGAAGGCATAAGTTATCTCCTACATTGGCTAAGTTCGAATTGAATTTTGCGCCCCTTTCCTCCTCTTATTATGAAATTTTTAATAATATGAGCGAAAAAGAATTTCAATTAACTGAAGTGATGGATGGCTCAGGAAATGAGTTAACTATTTCGACTTATCCAGACTATTTAAAAAATATGAAATCAGAAGACGGAGTGTTAAGAAAAAATCTTTATTTGAAGTATGTAGATTTTGTCAAAAATAGAAAGGAAAGTTTATATAAAGTACTTTTCTATCATTTTCTATCAGCAAATATTGAATCTAAAAATATTTCATTCAAAGGAGGATATTTTGAAGCGGCCCTTTATGATGACGAAATTAATCAAAAATTTATATTCAGCCTTTATAAAAATATGAAAGAATTTAAGGAATTAATTTCAAAATTTAGAGAATTTAGAAAAAAAATTATTCAGAAGATTTATAACTTAGAAACATATAACGATTGAGATAGTTATTTGGAATTAAAAACAGAATCAGTTCAAAAAACTTATTCAATTGAAGATGCTAAAAAAATCATCTTAGAATCCCTTGGAGTGTTGGGAGAAAAATATATTTCTGAAGTAAAAACTATGTTTGATAATCCTTGAATAGATTGGCTGCCTAGAAAGGGAAAAATTAGCGGAGCTTATTATTCGGGAGGAGCGTATAAATTGCCAGGAAAATATATCCTGTTAAATTACAAAAATTATTTTGATGATGTATTAACAGTTGCTCATGAATTAGGACATGCAATTCATGAATTAAAAATAGATGAAATAGATACTTATTATTCTTCTCCTACAATTTTTACTACAGAAATTCCCTCTATTTTTAATGAAATTTTGGTTAACTACTATTTCTTAAGAAAATTCAAAAACAAAAATGATAAATTACAACAACTGTACATTTACGATCATCTTTTAACTACTTTTGTAAATACAGCTACAATTCAATTAATTTACAGTGAGTGAGAATACATTTTTAGTAAGAAAATATTAAATAATGAGGAGTTGAGCCCTGATATCGCTGCTGAAGAATATTCCAAATTGTTACTTTCTTATTTGGGAAAAAAAATTAAAAAAGATTTGGAAGATTACAGATGACAATCTCTTTACAAGATATTTACAATTCCTCATTTTTATAGTGGAGAATTTTATTTATATAAATATGCAGTAGGACTAATTACTTCTTTATTATTAGCTGAAAAAATTTTTGATTCTGACGATAAAGAAATTCAGATAGAAGCATTCAATAAATTTTTAAGATCCGGAAGCTCTTTATCTAATTTGGAGACTTTAGATATTTTGGACATTTCACTACAAGATAAGAAAAATTGAAAAAAAATTAGAGATATATTTCAGGGTTGATTAACTGAATATATGAATATTGCGTCAGAAGTTTATAGTCTCTATAAGAATTAGTGTCAAAAAAGAAGGTTGATTCTGCATCAATTCAAAAAATGTGTGAACTTGATCATAGGAAAATTGGATTAGAAAAAGGTTTATTCTGCTTTCCCCGAGAGGGGGGAGTTGGACTCCCCTTTTGGCTATCGAGGGGTTACAAATTAATTGAGGTTATTAGAACTTATGTCAATAAGTTTCAGGAAGAAGTTTGCGGTATCAGATTGGTTAAAACTCCATTATTAGGAAAAAAGCAACTTTATGAAAAAACAGGACATTTGAAGCTTTATTCAGAAAATATTTTTATGCCAATTAAAGAAGATGATGAGGAATTCATATTAAGACCAATGACTTGCCCTCACCATATTTTGTTGGCTAAGGAGGTAGTTCAAGGATATCGTCAGTTACCCTTAGCCATCGGGGAAAATTCTCTACTTCACAGACATGAGTATTCAGGAGGATTAGTTGGACTTAAGCGAGTTCGCTCTATGGAGCTGATAGATACTCATATTTTTTGTTTGGAGTGCCAATGTAAAGAGTCAATAGATTCAGCACTTTCTTGAATTTGAAAACTTCTTCAAAAATTTAAAGTAGAAGTTTCGGAGATAGTTTTAGCTAAAAAATCGGAAAAATCTAAATACTTAATTGAGAATGCAGAATGAACAAAAGCGGAGGATATTCTATTTGATGTAACACGCAGTTGAGCTTTTCGAAATGAATTGTATCCCAAGTTAACCGAGAAGATGGGAGAAGCAGCTTTTTATGGCCCGAAAATTGACTTTAAT